CTCTACCACGACTCCATGATATTTTCGTCAATTATATTTTCTAGTCAATCTTCTTGGATGCAGTAAAAGAACTAACATTAGAATTTGTTCTCTCAGATAAAAAGTTGAAAGAGATTAAAGAAGATTTGATAATAAAAATCCCCTACTACCACAACTAGTGCTGTGTGGATATCTCTCTGTTAATTTCACTAAAGTGCAAAGGTACTAGTTGTTAAAAAAAGTCGTCTCTAGCTTCCTCTCGTAAAGCAGTTCTTAACCGAAACATTGTTTTGGCTTAGGGAAGAAGTCTAATAATATCTTCAGATGGGAATGTGGAGAAGTGATAATATTTATTATTGCACAGATATACATTTTCATTCTTCAAATGTAATCACAGCAGGTATACTCTCTTCTAAAGGCACACAAAATTCACGGAAGAGGAAAATACAAGTGTATCTTGCAAAATAATTTTAAAAAAACCGTAATATGGTGCAATACTTAACTGTCAAACAAAATTAAGTGACTCGGGTGCACACTCCCCAAAATTCCAAAACGCATAAAGCATATATTATCATGAGCTCGAAGAACAAATAAGTTTTGAAATAAATTGGATGAGTCATCAAACAGAACATGAAAAAAATATTAAAAACGCAAAAAATCAGAGAGAGAAATGTAGAACACAATTCAGTATATAACATCTTCTTTAAAAGCTTCGTGATCATCTCGCTGTGATAACCTTCTGTAACGAACATTTCGCCGTGAATGTCCAGAACTTCGTCCTTCAAACATGAGACCTGGGAAAGCTTTTTTTAACCACTGGAATTCCTCATCACTAATGCCATTGATTAGGAAATGACGATACTTAGAAAATTAACAGTAAAACGCAAAACGTTATGATAGAGCATGCTTACCCAGAAGTTTCTTTTTATTGTGATGCAACAGATAGAGGCAAAACACCACTAATCCCCCAACAACGAAGAACGTCATAAAGTGAGAGTCCTCTGATTGCTCGAAGTCGATTCTGGTTTGAATCTGAATATATTTTAGAAGCTGATACTTTCAAAAAAAAAGTCTTTCTTTTTTCATGATTTTTCCATTACCTTATTAGGAGGAAGGGGAGGAGGTACCACATTTCCCTTCGCATCCTCGACCATTGCTCCAAGCTGATTCTCCTCCTTTTCTTTACCCTTTGCCGGTTCTGTATCTTCCTTAGCTACCCCTTCACCGGCCGCTACGTCATCCGCAGGAGGTGCTGCATTGGCGCCTTCATCAACGTGCTCATCAGGGTCCTACCGCAAACATTTCATCCATATTTGAGCACTCATTCTATTTAGTTTAGTGAAAAGCGAGGAAGTAAGTGATTAGACCATCCTTTCAAATTCAGTAATGGTTCAAACGCAAAATGCGTGCGCAGAAATGGTCAACTGATGAACTGATTTTGCTCGTCCATGCATTAGGTGAGATGTAAGACATACCGACATGAGAGCATATCCAAACTATTCCCACACAAAGAGGTGGCTCTAATGGAATCAAGCGACAGCACACTTGGAAGCTACAGAAAACCGTCTTGCAAACACCTTGGTTATATTTTGGAAACTGACTGTTAACCTGCACATGTTTTGAGTAAAAAAATTGGTTATAAGGAAAGAAGAGTGCATGCGAGCGAGTCTGCTGATTTGGACGCAATAACACTTAGAGTGCATCACTTCTAGAGAGCGAAAATTTCTCTTCAATATACAAATGCGTGGTGACAAGATCTCTACCGTTGTGTCTACAAATAAAAACAATGCTTTTTGATGTTGGACTCTAGATTACACTATGTATAGTAAAACACCTGGAGCAAAAGATTCAGTTTTGCATCCGAAACGCATGACACCTCCTGACGCATGAGTTCCATTTAGCAATTTCGTGCGACGTACATCAGATTTCTCCAATTACGCCTTACAAAGATTAATGCCACATA